GTATCGGAGCCACCCACTCTCTCCGAAATGGAGGGAAAAAAAAAACTTCTAAAAAAAAAACCTGAGTCCTCATCGATTGGGCACGAAGGAAAAAGCGAATAGGGTTAAGATCAGTGAGGATATGGTCCTCGTGGCTAAAACCGGATCACAGACGTCATTACGCGTGATGAGAAAAAAAATGTATTGTTTTCTTTACTACTCCAAGGAAGCGAAACAACACGGTTTGGTTCGGTGAAAAGGAGCCTCGACCAGATGCCCTCAAATCTGGGTTTCGCTTCTAAAAGAGGATCTTGGCAAAATTTTATTTTTCAATATCCAAGGACCTGCCATCGAGGAAGTAACGCCTAAGGCATAAACATGGCAAAAATAAAAATAAATAGTCATCGACACGTATCACTCCCGAGTTGTGGTCCTAAATTTTCGGCCGAGACCAACTGAAGGGGTCGAAAGGAGAAGTAGTTTATCTGCAAAAAAAAAGTCCGAGGAAAGTAAAGTCGATTTAGTGTACACTGCATCCTTTTATGCAAGGAAGAAATTTCTCTTCAACGTAAGCCTCCATTACTACCAAGAAGACAGTCGCTGAAATATTCACTCGTTTCGTAAGGAACGAAAAAAAAATCATTTTTTTTTTCATACAGACCACTCTCCTTTTCAGCCCTGGAATCGTCTGGCTCCCTCGCCACAGCCCTGGAAGCGCAGGTGACCGAGACGTTTCGACGGAGCGAAAGCCCTTCCCCGTCCGATTCCTTTCTGCCGGCTGGGGCCCTGGAAAGTTCTCGGAAAACGAAGAGCGTCCAAACAAAAACGTGCGCAAAAAAAAAAACGAGGAAACAAGAACGAATATTAATACTGTACAGGCTTGGAAATGGAAAACAAAAAATACTCGAGTGGCCTCGCAGGAACGATCGATTTTCCTCAAAACGAACTGAAAAAAAAAGCATTTTCCCTTCTCTATCCGGCTGCATCGCAGTCGTTCTCGTCCAAACATTGTGACGGACGACGTCGTGCTGTTAGTGCAAAGCATCAGTCATCCCAATTTTCCCGCTGGTTTCCAGCTCTTAACGCTCTTAATGACCTGTTCGTGCACGAACAGGTCATTTCTCTCGTGCGATTCTTTTCGCGAAAACCGCGTTAGAATCGGAACGAGGCCGTGCCTCCCCAAGGACGGACCCCGCGAGGGAGGACCGCGAGGGAGGACCGCGAGGGAGGACCGCGAGGGAGGACCGCGAGGGAGGACCGCGAGGGAGGCCCCGAGACGAGCATCATTTAATGAACCACTCAAAAGTCGGAAGCAAAAACGAAAAAGGTTGGAAGAAGCCCGAAGAGAGCCGACAAGCTTTCCCTCGGCATCCGGAATGAGAAACTCATCGATTCTCGGCGGCTCTGATTTACGGTTCATAGGTCTCGCGGATTTCCTTTTGTTTTTCATCCACGAGGGGGATCTTTAATCTTCCTTTCCCATTGATGACGTCAGAAGACAGAGCAATAGTAATGAGCAGTAGAGGAATCTCTTTGATGGCTTTCCATCCCCCTACTCAGATTGGAATTAGTATGAGCTCTACATCAAATTTATGGCGTCATTTCCCCTCGCTTCCTTCTCCATGGCCAGCGGTGATATTAAGAATTCACCGCGGATTATGAGCTCAGATCTCCATTCCAATATGGAGCAGCTCATCATTCTTGCTCTGCTCCACAAATAGGCATCGATCCCGAGCTCGAGCTTGCTTATCGAAAGTGAAATGTGCAGGGGAAATCCAAGTCTGGTGCACTCGTCCCTGTTTTTCTTTTTTTTCTTCTTTTTTTTACGAGATTTCTGGCCCCTCCCACATCTGCCTGCTTCGAGATGGGGATAACCTTTCATTTCCTGCACCGATCCCTTCTTCTATCGTTGCAATCTGCTCTGCTCTTCGTCGTAGTAGCGGAATGACCACATTCGGTCTTTCCATTATAGAGCGACGAAATTCTGGAACTCGGTCCCCGTTAACATTTGCAACATTCCTGTTCGTAACAAAAATTAAAAAACAGCCTAAATATACACCTACAAACCATGCACGAGATCTCTAAGTCAAGTACAGGTATTTACATATACTGTGGTTAATCCCATAATGTGTTAATCCCCATAATCCCCTACGTTGCAGCTGTGCCTCTTTCCCCAGGGACGACCAGCCTCCAGGCCGATTTCCTATTTATATACTATCTGCTGTCCAATGACTTTCTGTCCCAATGAAGAACATTATTTATTTATATATTATTCCCACTCCTGGGTTCGTGCTAGAGTGTCATGAGAAAATGGTAACATTGATTTTGTTGTTGTTTTTTTTTAAACTCTGCAAACTCTTGCTGGAGTTGCATTTTTACTTCTTTAGAGGGTGAGGGTGTTCAGCCGACCTTCAGTTCACAGGGAGAACGAATCGTGTCAATGACCTTGACATCGTGGCTGAGGTTAATTTTCCTCTCGAAAACGCACTGGAATGGCGCGAAGGGGCAGAGAAACGACATCGCGTGCTTCCCAACTCGACCAAGTATTTCCGTTTTTAAGGGGGTGAGGTGAATTGGGGAAGCACGAAACGCTCTTCGATGCGGCCAGGACGGCCGTTCAGATTTCCCGTCCCGGCCATGCATTTTGTCTTGCCATCTCTTTCGAGACCCACCCAATAAAGTACAGCACATCCCCATCGCCTCACCTGCCAGCGCGGTGTCGCCTCACACCCGGCACGAACGACGGCATGAACCCGACTGGGGGGGGGAGGTTCCCGGCGCCGTCCGTGCGTCTTCCATTCCGGTATGGCGACACCAAAATATGATGCCCCGTTGGGACGCAGTGCCCTCCAGTCCGTCCTGCCACCATGCTCTCAACTCATGCTCTCAACTCATGTACTTGCTGCTGTACCTGCTGCCAAGCAGTCGTCCCTTACAAAAAATCTTGCAACACGTCGAAAATGAAAGCAGCAAATCAACGGAGATTCATTGTTGAATCACCGGTTTTCAACATCCATTCGACACAGAGTTCAACAGTGCTCGCCGTTGAATCCCCATTGGTTTACCGTTAAACCCAATTCCACCCGTGATTCATCATTAAATCACCGTTGATTCAACAGTGACATTCTTTTACGGGGTGTGGTGAAGGAAGCGCGCAATGCAACGTTGCATCATGTCCGCAATCATTCGCACGGGTAGACCTTGACTTTTGGCAATAGTGTCGTAATTGGCGCGAAAAGCAGGAGACGCGAGGACAGGCATATCCAGTCGCAGAATCATTCCCATCAATCCAGCCGGCAAGAGTCGTCTCTCGTGAGAGAAGAGAGAGAGAGAGAGAGAGAGAGAGAGAGGGAGAGAGAGAGAGGGAGAGAGAGAGAGGGAGAGAGAGAGAGAGAGAGTGAGAGAGATGTCGGTGTCCGTTCTCGCCGCCCTCGCATTCACTCGCCCGATCGCGGCTGTCCCAATCCTCCCAGTACTCCAGCGATTTTGATCGCAAGGTAATCCTCGTGAGCCGGGTGGAGTAAGACTTTTCTGCAGGATTTCCGTGTTCTTGGAAGTATGATGCTGTACCTGGTCGCCCTCTTCTTTGCTCTAGCTGCTTATTTCTACAGGTAAGTCCCCATTTTCGAACCGAAACCTAAAGAATTATTGTAGTGTTCGCTAAGTCCTAGATACCCCTCTTCTCGGGTCTGACGAAAGGGCGAATATGCTATTTCGAACTTTACCAGGAAGGCCACGATTTATTTTTTTATAATTTAAGTAGGAATGATGAAGTTACACTATAGAGATCAGACTCCCAGGTACAAAGGTCCTTACTTTTTCCCTATCAAATCCGAAAAATACACATTTCAAACATCTTTAACTATAACAAAATTGCACCTTCATCCCCTTTTCAGACCTTGCGACGGTGTGTAGTTGGTTGTTGGGACGTTTTGGGGGTAACGAAGGCAGGCAGTTTACTCAACAGCCTTGAATCTGACAGCAAGAAGTTGTTCATACGAGAACAAGGTCTAAATAAAGCTCAGCACGACAGGATGGAAATTCTTCTCGTACGTGCCGTGACACGTTCGCCGAGTCGTTTTGAGTGGTTAAGGTGGGGGGGAGGGCGAGATAAGGTATATACCTTATGGAATCCTTCTCTTGTCACGAAGCGAGGGGGAAGGAGAGTGCTGGTACTGATAGGAACTATAGGAAAAGGGATGGAACGTAGGGGTGCTTCCTGCGTACAAACTAGCCGGGGGAGGGAGAAATAGAGGAGAGGAGGGGAAAGCGGAGGAGAGGAGGGGAAGGTGGAGGTGAGGAGGGGAAGGTGGAAGTGAGGATGGATGCCTACAGGACAGACTAGTCAGCGGGTGAAGGGAAACCGTCTTTCAATCTGCGCTCGAAATTCTTATCGTATTGCATCAAGTAGGTGGGGTCAGAGAAGGGAACTTGGGAAGTCGCAGAACCCCTTAGAGTGATATCCTGAAGCTCAGGATTGCGAAGGAGTAAAAATAACGCTGCCTGGAAGGCATGCAAAATCCTAAGCATTCCACCTCGACGATAGTCAGCGTTTCTATGTGGATTTCCTCGTAAAAGCGCCTTTCATCTAAATATAAGCTAGCGTATTGAATTTGGTCGACGTTATAAGCTGAAGAGACTGCAAAAACGAATTGAAAATTTTACCGATTTACATACTACCGCGAAATCTAGACAATAATACATAAATTCGATTCTCGAATCGATTTTTTGCATTCCTCTCTAAGACGCCTCTTCCCTTGACAGCTCTCGTCTTGCGCCCAGTTGCGCTCTGAATGCGGAAAAGCTATTGAAGCTCCCGCGCCAGAACGAAGGCAAGTTGTGGAACTTCGCTTGAACCTGTCCCAGGCACTGCGAGGTTTCTCGCTTCTTCGTTCGCCTCGATTAAACGCTTTATGCAATGCTCCACTCGTGCTCCACGAGCTGAAACGTTTCGAGCACAAAAACATGGTGCAGAAACTTTAAGATCGCCACATTATTGGAGCCGATTCGTTCCTTGGAATATGAGGTAGTTATGATACAGAAAGAAAAAATGTCTTTCGATCGTACCCGGTGGCATACGGAAAGGGTAGGGGCCCTCCCAGTGGGAAAATCTTCTCAAAAGTGTAAGGTTTGCGAGATTCTCTCATCCAGAGATGGATGAAAACTTCCAACCGGACGGACCAAAGGGGGAGCTGCAGGCTCCTTAGCCGATCCGCATTCATCCCCTCCTTTATTCTCGTTCTCCGAGCAGGAAAATCTCAGACGGGTTGAAGCACTTCGAGAAGCAGCGGATCCCGACCGAGAAGCCGCTTTATCCCTTCGTGGGGAATCTCTGGAACATCTGGAAGGAGGTCGGGCGAATTCCCTGGCCTTTGTCAGCGGTTTGCACGAGTTCCGTCCCTTCATTTCGTGTGTGCTTTCAGATTCTGTGGGAGAGGGACATGAAGAACATGAAGAGATATGGGAAGGTCTGGGGGTGAGTCCATTATAGTCCCCGATCCTCTCTTTCTCTCTCTCTCTCAAAAAAAAACATCTCTCTCATCCTTGTGTGTTTTCTTTTCCACTCCGCCAGATTTTGTTCGGTGCTCCATTTCCAGTTTTTTCTTCAATTGGTATATTTTTGTATTTCGACCATGAGACGGACTTTCAATGTCGGCTTTCTCTTTTATGGCAAGTTTATGTTTCTATTCGAACGATTCTGTCTGCTGGTCGATGAAGGTCGTTCGAGGGGAGTCGACCGACGTGGAACATCGCGGATCCTGACCTCATCAGGGACATCTGCATCAAAGAGTTCGATCACTTCACCGATCGCAGGGTAAACTCCATGCCTTGGAAAGAAGACATAAAAATGAGGCCACGAAGAAACTCTGATGGTTCCTTCGCATTCCCCAGGCCTTCATCAAGAACGACGACAAGGTGTTATCGAAGATGATGACGACGATGAAGGGCCAAGAATGGAAGGACGTGAGATCCGCCGTCTCCCCCGTCTTCTCCTCGGGAAAGATCAAAAAGGTCTCTAATCCTTCGCACTTTCCTCACTCGTGCTGCAGGTTATGTACCGACTACATCATTTAATTAGGAGAATTTATGATTGGATTCATAGAGTGCTGCTGGAAATTCTTGGTAAGTCGTTACCAGGATGTCAAAACGGACAAGGCGCGTCGACTTTCATTTTGTGCTCTGAGATGCTCTAAACTTTTTTAAAATAGTGGAACACTTTTCGATGAGGACTTAGAGCGACTTCGTGTTTGTGCCTGCAGATGTCCCTTCTGATGGAGTCGTGTGGGGAGACCTTGGTGCAGCACCTCCGGGAGGCCGTGGACAAGTCCCAGGGCGTCGTCGATGTCAAAGAGTATCTTCTTCTTCTTCTCTCATGCTTCTGCTTTATTTTTCTGTCATGATTTCTCGGGTAAAACGGTCCGCTTACAACAGGACAAAAATGAAAGAAACCGCCTAACATGATGCGAGGGACACTTCTGAGAATCTCTTTCGAGCACATTACACGGACAACATTGGCGTCATATCATCGACATTACTGTGAATCGCTTTAAATTGCAGCGACAAATGTAGCCAGAAGCAAGCCTATGAGGCGCTACATTGCCGAAAAGAAAGCTGTCTGTAAAAAAAAACTAGGTGCCACGAAGTTGGAACTGATTATTTTTTGTACTTTTATTCGGTATCCTTCTGGGGATCAAAGATGGCATACATTCCACGAAACCCTTCTCTGAATTAGTTTTTACTCACCGTTGACCTCACTTTCCTTATCTCTGACCGTTCCACAGCCAGTACGGTGCGTACACGCTGAACGTGATCGCGACGTGCGCGTTCGGCACGAAGCTGGACGGCCTGGGGAAGGAGGATGACCCGTTCGCGAAACACGCCAGGAAATTCCTCGTCGAGAATCCTGCCGTTGGCAATCCTCTCATTCTCATCCCTTGTGAGACTTATTTTTAAATACTTTTTAAATGTATGCTCTCGCAGCAGCCGCTCTGCTGGTGTCTCAGATATACCTCCATGCTGCAAAGAATAAAATGTTCAATTCATTAGCCTTATCTAATTTTTTTGCATGAATTTTATCGCAACGACGAAAACGTTAATCGCGGAAATGAAGCAGAGAAGAGAGAAAGAAGGAAGAAATTTCCGAGTTCTTTCCTCGATCGGATGCCTAATTCTGCCGTCTCCGAACGTCGTTTCAGTCATTTTCCCGTGGATGATGAAGCTGATGCCGAAAATCCTCCCTCTGGAAGCCATCCGCTTCTTTCGAGACCTCATCCTGGACATCATGAAGCGGCGGAAAGCCGAGGGCAATGTGAGTGCGAATGCTAGAACTAGTCAAAACCCGCAGTGGTCACGCTTTCGGCGCTTGGCGGTAGAATAAAATGATTAATTCATTTGAAACAGCTGCTTTCGATGCACACACCTACAAACGTTGCAAGACCCACTGATTTTGCCACATTTGTAAAATCCGGCCCGCGGGAAGGGGAGTTAGCGAGGTAGGGTGTATGAGGAGTGGGGTTTCAGAATCTGCATATTTTCCTTAAGAGTCGTGTTTCAGGAGAATCGGGTGACGTCAAATTAAAGCTGTAAAGAATAGGGCTCGAATGCACAAACCTTATTTCGGGGAAATAAAGGGGTCTTTAAGCTAAATAGCTCTTTTTCTCTCATAGCAGTCCATGTATTCTTAAAGGACCGTTCGCTAAAGGAGGTTTCAACATTCGAGCCTAAGTCTGAGGGGAGACCACAAGGCGCCCGACATCAAATCTCCGGACTTCACTCCAAGCATTTCGGCCGCATTCATGGGGTGTCTGCCCTTCTTGTTTTTGGTACGGAGTCCCTAGAGCACCCCTAGGCTCAGATTTATTAAACGTATATTTAGGGTGAGGATATATTAGACGTTCATGTCCTGAGAATCCCTTATCGAAATTACCGTGTCGGATTCTTTCCGTGCGGTATGCAAAAGAAATGAAAAGAAATAAGCCCGGCTGACAGGCACCTGTCAAAGGATGACACAGTGTCAGTCGTTTGTTCTCGAGCCAGGAACGAGGCGATGCCCTGGACGCGATGATGGAGCAAGAAGAGAAGGAAAGGGAGGCAGGAGGCGAGATGGTGATCACGGAGGAAGTGATCGCTGCCCAGTCCCTCACCTTCTTCGTCGCTGGGTTCGACACCACGGCGTCCATGATGAACTTCCTCACTTACATCCTTGCCATTCGCCCAGACATCCAAGATCGGCTCTATGAGGAAATCGAGAAGAACGTCGAGGAACGCGCAAGTCTCCCATTTACCAGTTTCAGTAAAAGCTCTTTTTACTGGTAACTATTAGTAGTATCATAATTAGTTTCTGGTAATAGTGAAATATGAGTTTCACTCGCGATTCTACAGTGCTTCCAGAAGGGGTTCTCAGCCCCAATTACGCAAATACGAATTACTAGTGGAACGCATTTTCATCCCTTTCGGAATCTGATGTAATTGGGATTTCAGGGTCCATGCATGGGCATATGCGCTGAAAATATTCATTGAACACCCTGCACCGGCTCCCTGACTTCTCTTTTCTCTCAGAAAGAAAAAAAAGTCATTCATCGTGATCAGTCTCATCCGATCCTTTTGAATTTGCGTGAGCGGTATTGATGGTATGATCCTGAACAGGGAGGAATAAATCACGAGATGATGAACGCTTGCGTCTACCTGGACCAAGTGGTGAAGGAAACCCTCCGCGTCTATCCCCCTGCCATTCGGTGCGTCCTCCTTTCTCTTACTTTGCATTCCTTCCACTTTTTTTTGCTCTTGGTTCCCACAGACCTCAAATGCTGACCTTCCTGCTGAGTCCAGTGTTTAGAATTTCCAAAGACCACTTGTGAAGTTTTTGTTTTCCATGACAATTGAAACTGGGGGGGGGGGGGGGGGGGGGGGGGGATTCAGAAGTCTGTTAGAAGATGGCTGGATTGTGTGCACATAATAGGCTTCCCGTGCAGGAGTTTTCATCTGGATAGATTCAAAATTTCACTGTTGTGGATGGCTAAAGAAACGGGTACAATAAACTGGGCTTCTTATAACACCTGGGTTGGAGAAATACAATCCCTGGTTTGGGTTGTCCCAGAATTCCTGTCGCATTTTTGTTATCTTAGCGAAAGAGTTTCTCAATAGATTACATTTATAATTCATTACATCGAGAGTCCATTTTTTACCTTCAAAAGGTAATCTGAAAGCTATCTGCCGTTTTTCTTGTGAGGATACCCTTCGCTCTATACCTTAGCTTATGTTAAGGAAATGATGTAAAAATGTAAAAGGCATTCTGGGACATCCTTTATTTTAATTTGGTTTGATTTTGGTTTTATTTGAACCCCTGGGGAAATTTATTTCACTGATATCTTGCACGAAGTACTGAGGCATAATCTTTTTAGTTATCTTTCCTCAAAAAGGTATCTAATACTGTATATATAGACGATCGTGACTGACGCTAATTCTAACCATGTTCTAGAAAGGTTACAAATCTGAAACTTCGTATGCATGTACCTTTTGGGATGCAGAGGTCAGAAAAAATCCGACTTTGGAGGTACATGTCCTCGGGGTACACATTTTTTGGGGAAACGTTTTCTTTAATATATTTTGTGACAGATGAGGATGGCATTCAGAGAATCATCTTGATGGGGTGGGTTCGGTGGCGTAGTAGTAACATATCTGACTGGAAATCATAAAGTCAGGGTTCAATTCCCGGCCATTCTTTGGCTTTTTTTGCCTTCCATGTCCAGTTACTCATTCCCCCTCCATAACATTATTTTTGCTTGAGTAAAACGGAGAGACACGGAAAGATGAAACTTGGCATGGACGTGCCTACCGAGACGATGAGTTCAGGAAAAGTGCAAAATTTTAGATCCATGCCCTAAGGGCATATTTTTGTGAGCNGGAGATGACACGGAAAGATGAAACTTGGCATGGACGTGCCTACCGAGACGATGAGTTCAGGAAAAGTGCAAAATTTTAGATCCATGCCCTAAGGGCATATTTTTGTGAGCCGACGTTTTCAAGTATTTTTTTGTCCTGGCGTATTAAGCTAGTGTGGAAAGATGAAACTTAGTACATAACTGCCTATTGGGATGCTGCAGAAAAATTCAGACTTTGGAAGTAAATGCCCTGGGGGCACACATTTCAAAGGGAAATGTTTTCAACTAATTCTTATGCATCAGTTAAACTGATGAACATGGAAAGCTGAAACTTTCCATGAATGTGACTACTGAGACAAGGTGTTAAATAAAAATGTTAAGTCTGGATACATCCTCTGGGGGAATTTTTTCGAGGGGCGATGTTTTGAAATAAAAAATTGTCGTGGGTAATTGGACAGAAATGGAAAGGTGAAACTTGGCACACATATAAGTGACACGATATTAATGAGCTGAGGGAGTATTCAGCTTTCATGGTGCATCCCCTCCAGGCATAGCGTTAGGGTGGGTCGGCATTTCCAAACATGTTTTTTCACCATCGAATAAGGCAAACGTATAATATTGAAACGTTGTGGGCATGTAGTTCACTGAGGATGGATTTAGGTGAGAAAAAAATGTTACGTTTTGGTTAAAACGGCTCAGGGCACATTTTTTGCAAAAAGCGTATTTTCACGAATTTTCTGATGCAACAAAACAGAGGGCGCATGAAAGTTAAAAAACTTGGCAAATAAGTACCTGATGGGTAGCTGCGTAAAGAAAAAATTCTACTTTTCTAATATATATAGACGATCTTGACTGACGCTAATCCAAAAAAAGGGAAACGTATGAGACTGAAACTGGGTGGCATGGAGTTCCCTGAGTCTCCATTTCAGAAGAAAAAAAATTTTTCGCTAAAACCCATTAGGGCTCTTTTTATAAAGTCCCATTTTCCTGAATTTTTTTTTGATCCAACGAAACCGACAGAAAATTTAAGCATCCCACAGAAGTACCTGTTTAATGGCTGAGTACAGGAAGAATTCTATTTTCGAAATATGTCTCCTTAGCGTAATTATTGGAGGGAAGTATTTCAAAATGTATTCTCCACCCTTACTAAAAGGGACACAAGAAAATATTTAATGTTAGGCACACAGAACCATAGAAGTAAAGAGTTTTGCCCCATTCTCGCATTTTGCTTCGTCTTGAAACTCTTCCGTCTTCATGCGAACAGTAAGATGCCTGACAGGAATTACATAGTGTCACTACTTCAGCATTCCATGGCCGTGGAGGGAGATGATGAGTTCCTTCCCACGGCGTTTGACAAGGGTGTATATTAACTACAATCAGTAGAACGGTGAAACTTGAGGAACGAGTTAAATGAAACATGCGGGGAAGAAATAGTTAATTTCGGATGTGCATAATCACGAAACCCTCGATCAGATCACGTTTATACAATACTGCAGTTTAGTGCTCCGTCCAACAACGCCAATCCGGCGAACGACCTACTCTGAGCCTGATTCGGCAACATAATCATCAGCAGGTAAATCCAAAGGAATGGCTTGTGCGATATCTCCCAACCTGACTTCAGCGGACTTTTCTGGTGGGGCTTCCTGACGATTCCGGAGTTAGAGAACACCGTTCGACTAGATGTTCACCTTATGCTGTCCGATGAAAAGCTTGCTGCTGTTTAGAATTTCCTTCCACGTCTGGAAGCAATTGACGCTACCAATGGTGCATAATTCGAGCCTCTCTCTAAATGGCCTTGACAAATCAGTTGAAGCTCCAGGATTGCGTGTGCGATGATGGCCCCCGAATGACCTCATGGTCCTCATTCGACGCTGCCATCTTCTTTCGCATGCTTCTTTCAACGTGTTCTCCCAAGTTGCATTCTCATGCGACTAAGAGTTGAACACGCCAGTGTCAAACATTGTGGAAATGACTGCAAAACCATTCAACAAAAATGCAAATATTCCGCTTTGAAATCGCAGAGAATGGCGAGTAGAATGAATAATAACCCACGAAGCAATACTTGGTTGGAGAGAGGGAGATGAGCTCTATTTATTGGTGTAGTTAATGACACATAACTACCTACTTTTTGTATCCTTGATTAGTTATATTAGTTAAACGTTTGTTAGAATTATTGAAATATAAATTTTTCTTCATGAGCCCATGAGAACGGTTACAGAGAGAAAATGGGTTTTCTCAAAACGAAAATTTGTATGGGATTTAAATATGAATAACTTATTCAGTAATTAAAAAAGTAGACTCGTTCCGCTGAAAACAGAACACTTTCTGCAGGCCAATGAGGCATTTTTATGAGCACAGAAAAGCATGATTCTACTGATTTCATCAAATTTTTAAAATAATTTTTTTGGGTGTTCTGAGGGGTTGTTGATCTGAAAGGAAGTTTTGATAAATTTTTGAGACTGATGTTACAGGCTGCTACGGGAATGCACCAAGGACTGCATCATAGATGGAATTATGGAATTCAAGGAAGGGGATTTGATCTACATCCCAGTCTACGCCGTCCACCATTGCCCCGATTACTATCCCGATCCTGAAGTCTTCGATCCAGATCGGTTCGTTTCTCCTCCCTCCCATCGCCCGATGTCGATGCTTGCAGCCCGGGAAGCTGGAATCGCCTTCTTCCGGTTCCCTTTCGACTTCTTATATAGATGAGTTGTGAGATTTCCACCACCTAAGGTGGATTCGTGTCGAGGGAAATCCGTGCCTGAAGAAACTAAATTCTGCCAATTGTTGCACGACGAGGAAACGAGAGGAAAAGTAGGGATACAAAATTAACATGGACTCAGTGGAAAATACGAGAGAATTTAGCAAGGGCAGCGTATCCATTTCCCTGTGGTCTTCGCTTATTACAAGCTTTTTTGCTTTCCTAGGATGCTACAGTAATTAAATGCCGAGGTTCCTTGGTTTTCTTCGAATCAAGGGTCGAAAGGAAGCGAATCGATCTTGTAGCCTTCGTTATCAATAATATCCACGAGTAAAATGGAAGAGGAATACTTTTTTTTTCGCTTCAGGACTTTTCCTCCTTCAATCTCAGGTATTTCTGCATTGGATTCCTGAATTTCTCAGTTCTTCACACGCACCTGCAATTTCAGATGATTCTGTCCGTAAAATGACTAGAACGAGGCATCTTCAAATAGCACTCAATTACGAAGGTTAATTAATTAATAAGAGAAAATTACCTGCATCTCTTCATGTACAGGCCAAAGATTGTGCCGAAAATACAACTTTTGGTATTTAAGAAAAGGGTCCTGGAGATAGCTGCTTGAATACGTGTTGAGGTAAAACCGTTTGGTTGGTAGGTTTTCACCAGAGGCGAAGTCGAGCATACCGCAGGGAGCCTACCTTCCGTTCGGCATTGGTCCCAGGAGTTGTATCGGGATGAGATTTGCACTCGAAGAGGGGAAGTTGGCGTTGTGTCACGTCATCCGTTCCTTCCGTGTCGTCAGATGCGAGGAGACACCTGTAAGTTCTTTGCCAGCGCCGTTGGGTTGTCGGAATGAGTCACTGTTTGAATAGGTCGATGTGCTGCACGGATGAAGAGCGATGATTTTGCTGATTTATGTTCGGCAAAGAGGATTTAGTGGAACAGGTGAAATGTACATCGATGTATGCTGCGGTTGCGATTCAGTGAGGCGGATACCATGAAGACTTTTATTTCCGGGAAGAAATTCTTTGCAGCGATCGTGAATTTTCAAGGAAATATTTTAGGTAGTGAGTAATAGGTAGTCGCTAATTGGTGATGTGGAAAGTTGAGCCGGGTCGAGTTTTTTACGTGGTTTTTACAAAGCGTAGTACTTTGCTGATGATTAGAAAGATGATTAATGTTCACGTGAGAACGCCGTCTCATGTTTCTAATAAAGAAAAATAAAAGACAAATTAAACAGAACAACGAGCGACATCTGCTCTTCACGTGATTTTGCGTTATGCAACACTCGAAGCAGTTCCTTCGCACTCGCAACTTCTGTAACGTTACTTGAAAAGCCAAATGGTGAATTTTCGTTCGGCTGCAGGTGCCCATCAAGTGGACGCCGGGAGCATTCGCGACCGTTCCCGATAAATCCACCCCGATCAAAGTGAAACTGGAAAGTCGACTTTGATGTCCGATCGGAGAGATTCCCTTCTGGAGTTTCTTGCCCGAATCCTGGCGGATTCCTGAAGGGTCTGTGAGATGACTTTTGTGGTCGGTGCTAAATGTTGTCAACTTTTCAGTCATTTGCTGTTTTGGGGAAATAAAAGTCTCTGCAAGGGATTGCAAATAAATTCGCTCGTGATTCTTGGGAAGAGGCATTTGCATATACATGTTTAAACAAATGAAAATAGCTTCATTTGTGTATGCATATTCAAAGATCAGTTATCGATCTGAAAGTCGTCCGAAATCGTGGAATCCGAGAACTTTTCGCTGCATCGAATAGTCCTCTAACGATTAGACTATGAACCTCTTTGATACACAAACAAGACTCGGGGGAGAAATGATGGCCTGTGAAGACATAATGCATTAATGTCGGGAATAAACTTTTTTTTGGTGGAAATTTCAAAGTGAATTCCAAAATTGGAGCCTTTGTATAAGAAATTAAAAATAGGCTGTACTTACCGAGAAGGAATGCTTAAAATGTATTCTTATGCTAATGTGTGTTCGCAGGGGCATTGTCAAATATCTAATCCTCGTTACTGACTCAAGCGTCGATGACATGAATTTCCAAGCTAAGAAACCCGGTGGAAATCTGGGTGGAAGGCCGCCTTCGTGCGAGAGGAGACTCCAGATGTTGGGTTTCTTTTGGCTTCCCGATCAGGATTCTGGACGTGCATGATCACGCCTTTCCAACTGCTTCAGTGAAGCTTTTTATGGACCTTAACCCATCAGTTTTTGTAGCGAGAATGGAAGCTTCCTTGGAAACCTGGGGACATTTTTTTGGCGATGATGCAGGCGCAATGCATTTGACCAGCCAAATGAACGAAAAAAATACAATTCATGCTGAAGAAAGCCCTGTAGTTGATCCTCGTCGTAATATAGTTCAAGTTATCTAGCAGAAACCAAAAACAACACAGTAAAACCTATTAAATCATCCTCGACTGTGACCTATGCTGCTGACACTACGGTACACGTACTCATACACCGCATATATCATGCTGGGTTTCAATTGTCATGGAAAACAAAAACTTCACAAGTGGTCTTTGGAAATTCTAAACACTGGACTCAGCAGGAAGGTCAGCATTTGAGGTCTGTGGGAACCAAGAGCAAAAAAAAACATTTTCCCTAAGATTATCATCGATTACGAGGAAAAAAATACTTGCGAAATCATGACCTGATCTCACTTTTGCAATTTTCAATTTGCCTCGGTTTCCGTGAAGAAACGAACGAAGCAGTTCTCGATGGACCCGTACTGAAGTGCAATCCTTTGCCGAACACGGAGATGTTCAATCGATAGATTCACGAGTTAGAAGGAAAGATCCTGCGACTCACCCTCGTTCCTGATTAACTTCGGTCGACCATGCTCGCACGGAATAATTTTGAGGTATTATTAGTATTATTAGATATGCATAATACTTTTTTACCAAAGATTTCACATTTGCTGTGGTTTGCCTCATAATTTTTTTTCAGAAGAAAGGTTTATTTGCCAATATTTCGGCTCAGAACAACGTCATGTCACATTCCATCGTAAATATAAATGAAATATAAATAACTTCGGAGCAAATGTGCAAACCCGATATGAGCAATATCGACGACAGGACGCTGGCTTAACCAGTCAAAACTTTCTAACAGAACCTGAATTTTAAAAATTGCTAAACTCAACAGTGTGCCAAGTTTCGTGACTCGACTCCTTACAGTTTCCGATTGGACGATGAACCCATGGAACAGGTCCAAGAGCAGGAAGATGAAAGAGGACGCCAGTTTTTCTTAATAACGGGGGAAAATCCACGTGTGCTGAAAAGGAATTGCGTTTGAAAATTTGAAGGAATAAATTATTGAAAGAAGTGGAAAGCGGCGGTCGCCTTGCATCCAAACGATACAGGCTGCCGGATGTCGCTTGTCGCGAGTTTTTATGGCTCTCCCGGGAGTTTGTGTGCTCTTTGCACACAATCCCACTATCGCTTCGCATTGGGAGGAGGGAACGACTCATTTTCGCCCCGAGATCGGTTTCTTTCCTGACGGACGAATGGAAAGAGGGAGTTTCGATTGATGCTGGAGTCCATCACAATACTCTTCCCGCTCACCGTCATCTAGTGGAGTAAAAGGGGCTCCAGAACGCCAGAAAAAAGCAATTCCTCATTCCTCACGGAATGGATCCTTCTCAATGTCAAGGTCGGATGAGATCACATAGAAAACAGACCTGCGGCTTGAGTGCAGATGAGAGAGGGAGACACGGGGGAGAGGGAGACCTTGGGGTCCTGCCCCCCCCCCCCTCGCCTCCTCCCGTTGACTCTCCCGATTACAACACCTGACGCAATGCTCAAGTGACGTTGAGTCACTTAGTCCCCGCGCTTTCAAGTCGCGTGTTTCTCTGTGCGGGAATTCCGTTTTGTTCACGGCAAGATGATGCTGGTCCTGGTCGCTGCCTTCGTGCTTCTAATCGCGTACCTCTACAGGCAAGTTTCCGACATGCAGCGCTCGCAAAGTTCGGTTAGATTCTCATCGTCACAAAGCAAGCAAAATGGCGAAAATGGATTGTGGGAACTTTCAGAGTGTGACTTTTGTCTTTTATTTTGTCTTTTAAAGGGAAGGATGATGATTGAGAAATTCTTTTTAGGTAGCGCTGGCGCAATTCGGATGCAAAGGTGCAGTCCGCAATTTTCATTTTTGTATCTGAAAAACAGGTTTAAACTCGTCCTGACCAAACAATATTTTTATTACTCCCTCTTTGCCATACTTCACGACGATGCGTAAGAAATTATAAACTTTTTTTCACTCCGTGTTGGAATTAGGTAAGGCAGCGGAGAAGCACATGCCATCGACCGACAAGCACAGAAAACAGGTTAGGCCAATACCGTAAATATTCGCGCTCCTATATATAGGCGGAGTTCAACAGTGAAGCGAAAGTGGTAAAAGTTCTCTTGCCGAAACAGAGCTGTGCTCAGGAGAACGGCCATTCTTCTCACAATCGCTGTGACACGCTTGCTATCATTGCGACTGGGAGGCGAGGGGAAGGAGATAAAAGGAGAGTGATCCTTGCGAAACAGCGAAGCGTACTCTTGGTACTCTACTCCCAGGAAAGGGGAGGGGGGGGGGGTGAGAACAGGACCGAAGAATTACAAGTTTGATGCCTGAAAGAGGCTCTGAAACTCGGCTTAGCGGAGGACAAACTGCTGATATTTCAAGGCCATTATAGGATCTTTGCATTCCATTTCAAAGGTTCAAGGCTTTAAGGTTTGGGTTGGGACCAAGAAACATTTTGTCCGCTTTTCATCCTGGGTCGAGATGGAGCGGTCATTTAATATGGTTTTTCTCTTCAAAATTTGATATTTTCGGGTGGAGAATATATTCAATATTGCTCCCTTTTTTTTGCCGTGAGGTCATTAATCCCCTTCTTCATCACCCTTTCTCCCTTCTTGGTCCGAATTGGATCCAGTCTCTCCTTGATCGCCCTGTCAGCAGCTAAAAAATATTATACCGACCATTTATAGTGATATCTATTGGACATCTACTAACTCAGATGCTTTAGTACTCCCACTACCACGTAAATAATACAAATATTTTCATGGAATGCCCATGAACTAACGTGAACTATGCTCACTATTCCTTGTGAAAAAAGAATTATAAAACTGAAACGGTGAAAATTTTCCGATCGCGCCATGCTGCAGCCATGCTTCAACGGCGACTATGATGAAAGTGGGCTCCTCCTTGCTTCTTCTAATTGGTTGGCTAGGGATTTATGTGTTCACAATGCCAATGTCGTGCTTGGCAAACAGTCTTAACTTTGTCATACCGGGTCCGATTGGACACCGAAAATTAGTCAGAGACAAATAATTTATTTAAAGTACCAGAATTGATCCAATTATTGCATTTACTTAGCCATGAATGAAGGGAAAGTGAAATCTTCAGCTAAGGGGGAAAAAAATGCTAAACCCTTAACTTTAACCCCCTCGAGCGTGAGTTTATTGTTGACAGCAGCACCTCCAGGGGGACTTATTTTTCACATTAGCCTCTTTTGGATGCACGGCTTAAAAAAAAAATCACGAGTCAAAAACTAGTCATAATATGCTATTGCATTTAGAAAGCATTGACGGCATATGTGGCGGTACGCATTAAGCTGCGGTTAGCGGGAGAGCGGCACGTGCCGTCGCACGCGCTTGCGAGGTTAACCTATTCGAGGGAAAGACGAGGGCTATACGCTTTCATCGAACGCGCTCCGCGCATTCTCCAACTGATTAGTAGGTTCATTTTGCTATTTGAAACCTATTGGAGGCAGCTGGACTGGTTCCGTCTCGTCCTTCTGCGGCTTCGAGAGGGAGAAACCTCCATGCGGGTCTCCATGCGGTGGCGTCGATTCTAATGCCTGGATGAGACTCGTTAATGTCGCCGTTGAATGGAGTCGCGCCGAGTCTAGATGCCGCTGTTCGAGTCGCTGGAATTCTATCAAAGAATGCCTCGAAACTTCTTGCTGGCGATGGCATGCCGGTTAATATGTAAATTCTTGCAACATTCAGCCACCCGTTACCTGGATGTGCGAGAAGAATTTTACTTCGCGTTTCCGAAGGCCTCCCAAAAAATAAAAGAACCTTTCGTCTCGAGTGAAAATTCATTGGGAATGTCCCTTCCGAGAGCAGATACGGAAATATTGTATTTTGTCGGTGTCGTGAAGAACCGAGGAGATTGCAAGTCGAACGAGCGGTTATCACGATTGACTTGTGCAGAAGACCCAAGACGTGAAAGTGACGAAATTTGATTCATTAGCTCGCATTCCTTTTCGGAGACTTAACAACATTAGAGAAAAGTCTAAGAGATCCTGCGAGTTTCGCGTTAACCTGTCCCAAATCTGCGGGAGCTGTGAGATCGTTGCATCGTTTCGGATCCGTGTCTCTAATATGAGAGAGTTTAGATGGTAAAACTGCACAGGGAATGCGCTTCAGGTTTGGGATTCTGTCATTTTGATGCATTTTCCCTTCTTTCTTTCTCCGACAGGAAGATCTACGATCGGTTCGACTACTTCGAGAAACGGCGGATCCCGACAGAGAAGCCGCTTTACCCCATCGTGGGAAACCTCTGGAAATTTTGGAAGGAGGTCAGGCGAATTCCCTTTCTATTTTCCACAGTTCACTGGAATTTCCTTCCATGATTTTGCGTGTGCTTTCAGGTGCAGATCCAGAGGGAGATGAGGAACATGAAGAGATATGGGAAGGTTTGGGGGTGAGTCCATTACAGTCCATTACAGTCCCAATCCTCGTGTGCAAAGCAAAATGTATCCATCGCCGAAGAAAAGCACGACCAAGAAGGAACAATGCGATTTTGATGAAATGTGTCACACGAGCTGGAACTCGTATTACCATGAATTCGCTCACTCCCTCTTAGGCTTCCAGCAGCGGTCCTAATGAGAAGATTTTTGGAGGAAATTGAAAAAAAATCTGGCGTAATCAATATTGCCGTCCTCTGCTAAATCTGAAAGCACATCTTTATGGGGTTTTCAGTCAAGTATCATCTACGAGGTCTGATGAAAAAGTTCCAGTACTTTCTTTGTTGCCTCACCCTCCCTATTCTCCGTGCGACTTTTTCCTGTCCCCAAGATTAAATTTCACGTGAAAAGAAAAAGATTGACATTTCAAGCATTAAGGAAAATGCGACGAGGCAGCTAAAGAGTCTTACACTCCAGGACTTCCAGCACTGCTTCCAGAAGTTGCAGGAGCGTTGGGATAAGTGCATAGCATCGAGGGGGGGAATACTTTGAAGGGGACAAAAATAAATGTTGATGTACTTATTAAAAATAAAGTTTACGAATAAAAGTACTCGAATTTTTTTAAATCAGACCTCGTATTTAAAAAAATCATTGTAGGTGACCGCATCGTGCGATTTGTATGACCCCCATAGCCCCTATTGAAATTGAAGTTTATGACAATATTTCCCCAGTGATTATTCAACACTCTCTCCCTTGAAACTCTCACCATTTTCCCGGTATACTAGTGCAAACTAGTGAACCAAATTTAATCAAAATTACCTTACTCTCTCTTGGTCATGCTTTTTTGGGAGAGATATGCAGTGCTCCGAAAGTTTACGACCGATTCAAGTAAAGATCGAGGAAAGACTAACGGAAATGCATTGATTTACATGCATTCCAAACAGCCAGGAACACCTTAGAAACGAACTTCGGCATGAATGCTTCATTTGACCGCCGGCCTCCGGGGACCTCGGATCGCTCGAAGCTCTCGACGAATCGACGGATGACTTTATTCGTGTTGGTCTCCGCATAAAACCCTGTTAATGGCCGATGGGGTGGGGGACTGGCACGGAACACTCGCTGGAACCTGGGCCACGGGGGATTTGGGTGTTGAGGCCGGACAGTTTATTGGTCAAATTCTTTTAAAACTGAATCCCAATCTCTCGATGGCGAAGAATGTGAGGCCAGGTGTGTGGCGCGGGGCTCCGTCGAGAGTCAGCACAGTCGTTTCTTGGCCTGGGAAAATTTACTGGATCTTCAAGTAGACCATGCAGACGGACAGGATTTTCTTAAAGTTGCTGGCTAAGCGTTTATCAAAATTTTGTGTGAATGGGTACAAAACTTTCGGAACACCCTATATGTACGTCACTCGATATTTCTCTGATTATCTGGTCTTGAATTTTAACTTTTTGCTTCACTTTCTATTTTTATCTACCAATTTCGGCACGAACTATATGTCATCCCTTTCAACAAAAAAATCATGCCTGGTTTATTTCTCAGTTTAATGTGATCCATTATGTTACATGGTCGATGAAGGTCGTTCGAGGGGAGTCGACCGGTGTGGAACATCGCAGATCCAGGTCTCATCAGGGACATCTGCATCAAAGAGTTTGATCACTTCACCGATCGCAGGGTAGATTCCAAAATAATAATAAGAAAGAGGAAAAATCGAAGAAAATGTAATTTCATGATGGTATATCTGGATTCTCCAGGTACTTTTTGAGATCAAGGAGAAGGTGTTGTCGAAGATGTTGGCAAATTTGAAGGGTCAGGAATGGAAAGATGTGAGATCTGCGGTCTCTCCAGTTTTCTCCTCGGGTAAAATCAAGAAGGTCTGTCTCCCTTTGTCATATCTCTCTTGCACTGCAGGCTACGAACCGAAAAAACCCAGATGAATTATATTAGTTGTAGGAGGCGTTAGGATTGGATTAATGTAAGGCTGCTGGAAATGCCTGCTTGGTACCCCATCGCCAGATAATCGTCATATAGACTCGATTCATACAGCCTACATTCTTCTTAAGACTGCCCGGTCGAGTTGCTCCAAGAGACTGGACAACATATCAGAAAGGTGGAAACATTTTACAACAACTCAACTTGTAGATGCTGTTCGGTACTGATACACGACTAAGGTTAGAATCTGCGCCACTTGAACTGAGGCTCTTTTTCAATAGCCTTTCCATGAGGATTTAGGTTCATGGCGAAACCCAAGGGTAGCATGCAGCACACAAAGTGCCCCGTTGAACATCCAATTTGGGCACCCTTGATTTGAGCGACCATGTGTATGTTCCCATAGATGTCCCAGCTGATGGAGTCGTGTGGGGAGACCCTTGTTCAGCACCTACGAGAGGCCATGGACAAGTCCCAGGGCGTCGTCAACGTCAAAGAGTATTTTTCACCTTCTCCCTCTCTTCGTGCTTCTGCTTTTGTGGTCTGCTTATAGGGAAATTTATAAAAAGCTTCTCTCTCATGGAGGAAATGCATCACAAAGCCGCTGCAGATGAACGCAATCGACTATCGGACAATAATAAGAAAACACGGTTGTCTCAAGCTCTAGTACACCCATTAAGCTCCTCATGTCTCGCTTCACCCAAGTCGGCAAAAAAAAAGATACTCCGTATAATTGAGTTGTGGACATGAAGTGCACAGCACCAGTTCTCCCACAGAGAACATCCATTGGTCGTTCCATCCATTCGTAACATGTAATCGGGTCTCCTCATGGACTGAAATATGAATCCAATAAAGTTGCAGCGTAAAAACTGGTAGAATTAAAGCAATAAGATTTTCCTCTTCCTAGAGATAGGATGGTCGCAGGGAAAATGTCGCACACACCCTTCACGGTCTATCTATATTTAGACAGACCGAGATGGCTGTTATCCCCTTTATCTCTCATATCTTCATGTTTTAACACAGGAGTAACACTGTCTTCACTCCTTGCACCTGGTTGTTAAATGAATCTTTTTGATGACTTTCTTTTTTGTCGTTCATCTTTCATTTTTCATCGTTCGTATTCCCGACACTAACGTTCTATTCTGCAGTCAATACGGAGCGTACACCATGGACGTGATCGCGACGTGTGCGTTCGGCACGAAACTGGACAGCTTGGGAAAGGAGAATGACCCGTTCACGAAAAACGCGAGGAAATTCTTTGCCGATAATCCCCTTGTTGGCAGTCCTCTCATCATCATCCCTTGTGAGAACCACTCTCTATTTTGGTAGAGTGTAGTTGATAAAAAGCTACAGATGTCTCTGTAATTTTTCCCCCCCCCCCCCCCTCCCTCCCCCTACTTCTCGACGTGTCGCATCTAATTACGCTATTCTATGACGGGACAGCGTGACAGGATGAATCGCGCGCCACACACAAGATGCAATAGACGGAAACATCCCTGTCATGGCCATAGCCCATGCAGGACCGCGAGTAACGAAACGTCTCTGCAAGCTCATCAGCTGTACTTTGGTCTTTTTTCGAATCATCAGCCTTAATTCATCAGCCATAGGATGCATTGGTTTTGAGTTCGATCCTCGCCGGGATCTTCTTCTAGTTTGATATTAAAAAATACACATGCATTTATCATTGCTGGATTGACTCAAGGGTCAAAGAGTGAGAAAACTTCCTCATACTGAGATATTATGACTTAGAATGGCTTGGGTTCAAGGCTGTAATTCTGTTCAATGCGGATTGTTTCTCTACTCGGGAATTTCTTTTGTTCACACTTTAGACCAACTACAGAATGCGTTGTATGAGGTTCGCTCTGATTTCATGCGAATTCAAAAGCAGTAATGAAATCGCCTGACATCTCAAGAACCATTCATAAGTTACTCGAGATTTTGCAGTTTTAGGAGACAATTGTGCAGTGGCGTGGCGTGGTTAGAGTGAGCCCTGGTGCAAAGAATGAAATAGGGCCTCCCGTCCAATTTCTTTTTCCTTAATTAATTACCGGTATGGTAAAAAAAAAATGGTTACTCACCGAGTGAAGTGATCAATTCCGCGCTTTTTGCTGAGCGAAGACATCGATGATTTTGAAAACATTTAATTTCCTCGCCCGTTTTATTTTCTATGGATGGAAGAGCGAGACCGCTGAGCCGTTCTTGCGCCATTCTACATTGTGGCGCAAAAAAGGTAATTGAATTATCTAAGACTAGCCGACCCGTGGAATATTTCAACGACAACCCTTGGAGTCCCCTTTCGTCCCGCTGAAGAAAGGATGATTTCCTCACCGGGGTGAGATCTTCGCCCATACATTTATCGGAATCCCGACCCCTTTATTGATTAGCACCTTTTCCTATCGATCGCAACCCTGTCCGCTTCGTTCGTAAAGTCCATCTCCATCACTTTTCATGCAAGCCTATGTGCGACAAGATTCTCTCTCCCATTCTCAAGAACGGATCCGACGATCGCAAAGGCCGGAGAGAACACGAGAGCTCGAGAGCGTGAGTCGGGCGCTCCAATCCGCGGGAAGTCTTCCATAAACTGTTTCTCGGGTATTCCCGAGCGCAGTCAGCAGCCCTCTCAACGATATAAGCAGCGGCCCCTCTATCCCGTTCTCGAGAATGACCTGTGGAAGACTTCCACGAACTCCGGGTCGGCCTAGGCTAAGCGTGTAGCATTTTCGGATATTCACGAGTTTAGTCGGCGGCCCTATCAATGCTCTACGCAGCCGCTCGGACATTCTACGTCTTGCACATCCCCCGCCCCCATTTCCCAAGGGGGTTTTAACGCCTACGATACGGACTTTTAATGAGTGGCACTCGTATCCAGTATCGATCGCGACCCTGTGCGTATCGTCCGTTAAGTCATATCTCCACCACTACTCATGAAGGCCTGTGAGTGAAAAACACGGATAGAGAAACGGGATGGTTACTACGCGGCCGACGTTGTTTTTCCGATCCAAGGGTAGGCGCTCCTGTTCCATGCAGGTGGGATCCCGCCGTTTTCACCCTAGGGAGTCGCTCTCCTTGTGAGGGTGGCAATCTAATATGAGGACGGGGTTCCGATTGATAAAGAAGTCTGGATCCCGATAAATATATGAGCGGAGATCTCATCCCGGCGAGGAAGTCATCCTTTCTCATGGGATGAAAGGGGACTCCAAGTGTAATACGCGGGACGTTATACACGTCCCTACAGGAAAGTTCGTATTGTATGTGTGAACCCCCCCTAGGTAGGAAGGGGGAGGGGGTGTGCTTAGAATGTCTCTTTCTCATGTTATAGTGTTAGGGATGGCATGGAGAGGGTCTACTGAACGAATTTAGTTCGGTAGTGTAGTGGTAGCACACTCCTCCGGCAATCAGGAGGCCCCAGTTTCGATTACCATCCGCTCCATCGTTTTCTTTCGCCGTCTTATGCTACCCGAACTCTTCCCTCCCCACCCCTCTGGCTATTACGTTCACAAGACCTTCGCAACGGCAGGAAAGTGCAAGCTGGAGAGAGGGAAACAGACCCTTGGAGCCAGGCAGAAGGAGCCGCGCATGCGCACAAGGTGTCTGCGGACAGGCGCCCAAGCATAATATGCAGGGTGTCCTTAAAAGATTCATACAACTTTAATCTTTAATAAAACATGAACGCACATTTATATATGGTTTGCAGGAGCGAAACCTTGACATTTCAAGTTTTATTACGCGCATTTCAAAATTTTAAATACAATTTTGGCAACTTCACAGGAGAAGGTAAATGCGCGCTGTGGTTTGTTGAGTTGAAGTCAGTCACACAGGTGTAGCGCTGGTTCGGTATTGTTTACAGCAAGGATCCTCATGTCTGTATTTCAGCTTATCGATAGATGAAGCAATTGAAGGACACAGGACATTTGCTGATAGAGAAGAACTAGGGTGGCATCTGCGATTCTCTACTGGCACGACGCACAGACCATCTTGGGCTGCTCTCGAAGGCTTTCTGTACACTCGTTCAACATCGGCATCCGATGTTGAACGAGTACGGGAACGGGAAATTGTAGGGTCTACGATATCTCTTATCTCACGAGCAAGAGGATTCTTGCCGTAAAAAGTTCTGAACTTATGTAGCGCCTGTGTGACTGACTTCAACTCTATAAACCACAACACGCACTCGCCTTCTTTCGTGGAGTCGCCGTTTCCCTTCCAAGAAGCTGAAAAATAGTTTTAACAAATTATTTTGAAAATCTAAACGTATGTAAGAAAACTTGAAATATCAAGCTATTGTTTGCTGCGAACCACACACATGTACGTTCATTAGTTCATAATTTATTGAAGATTAAAGTTGTATGAATCTTTTGTACCCTGTATACACGTATATAGAAGACACCCACTAGGTTATTAAAGATTTTTAACCCTTCCATGTTTTATCTTTTGCGCTCAGGGCACTCACCTCGTCCCTTGCCCATGGCGATGAGCCAACCGTCAGCTCTCACACCCGCCTTCCCCCCCCCCCTTCGTAGCCGAGCGCCTGAGCCCTTCCGACCCGTGGTGCAGTTGCATCACCTGCACACTCCATAGCTACGCCATTGCACTTGCGGTAATCAGTAGAACATTAAATTGGGTGGAGTGTGCTCGTGGCCAGAAGAAACGCCTGGACTGGATACATTTCTGTGGTGAAACGGAAAGACTCCGGCTTCAATAAAGGATGATGAGGTGAAAACTGTTCTCCGTGAACAGTTCCAAATGGAATTTTCTGGCCACGGGTATGAGGGTAAGATAAGGCGCAGATAGACATGTGCATGGGATAGGAGGGCAGTATTGGATTATATACATGTGATAGGTAAACTATGTTAAGGTAAGACTATGACCTACTAGACAGAGTGGGAAATGTAAAAAAAAATCACATGATGTTTGTAGGTTTGGGCTGAGTCCGCACTCCACAGTGCCGTTTGGCTCAGCAAAACAAGCAGACACTAGGTTCTCACCAAATGACAGAACTATCTTTCCCTGAGTGTGAAGGCTGTAGCTGAAAGCTTCATCATCATCCCTGGACTAGATAATATGAACTTCGTCGAAAGCATGGCCACTGAAGGAACAATTGGTCCCTCGTTCCAACATTTTCCTGCCGTTGTGCAGTCCTTTTCCATCGCAGGCAGAAATTCACCGTTTACAAATTAGATATGTATCTCGGAAAAGAATCCGACCTTGTTTTTCGCTGAATGAGACCTAATTCTGTCGTCTCTGAACATTTTTCCAGTTGTGTTCCCGTGGTTGTTGAACATGGGACTGAAAATCTTCCCAATGGAGCCCATCTACTTCTTCCGAGATCTTGTCCTAGACATCATGAAGCAGCGGAAAACCGAGGGGCGTGTGAGTGCATACAATTGCTTATGTTATGCAGAGTGTCCATTTAAGTCACTATACTCGTTCGAAAAAATCGCATCTACTAAGCACACAAAAAGGCACAAAATCGAACAAAACGAACGCTTTTGGCACAAAAACGAACTAGCATAACCTAAACGATAGCATGTCATCTTTGTCAAAAAAGGAGGTTGTTCTGAGTTTTGAAAGTTCCTTGAAATGACAGCCCCACAAAAATAAGAAGTCTAAAGTAATTAGGTAATTTCCTGATTATAGGTAATGATAGGTAATCTTAGTGGCCATGGAATGGCCACTAAGATTACCTGATCAATATCAAAGACATTGTTTGCATAGGAGAACACGACAATCTCCAAGATCTGAGGGTAGAATTGTCGCAGCTACCCTGACAGTTTTGCCTGACATTGCATCATGTGTGACAAGAGCTCAAACATCGTTTTGGACATCTGCAGAGTCACGAACGGAGCACATGTGGAATTGCAATAACAAGTTTTAAAGAATCTTTGAGTTGCTCCTTCTTTTACCGTTCTGATAATTTAATTTGAGGCATTTCTTAGGGAGATACTAGTTTTTTAAATGTTTCCATACCTTTTGGAACACCCTGTATACCAGTGATGAGCAAACCCGCGGCCCGCGAGGTCCTAGTGTGCGGCCCGCGGGGCTTTGTCAACTGAATTTTTTTTCCTGTCACCTACCATCCGGAGCAAGTGCATGTGCGCTCAAGGATTCCATTGTCCACTGCAGGAGAAACGGAAGCAAGAAATTAAACATAAAATCTACATTTCCACCACAGTTGCAATTATCCCTTCACTTTCTTGGTTAGTGCATGACTGCTCTCTGAACAAGCGCCTTGCTTGGTGTTTTGCTCGGTAAAAGGATGCGAAGAAAATTCAAAATTAGTTATTTGCATATCATTAGCATATACAATTTTAGTACCTGGTTTACTAAGCCAATCTAAGAATTATATGGTACTCAGAAGGCATAAAACTTGTAATTCAGTGAGGGGGGGGGGAATAGATGCGGCCCGCTGGGAATCTAAAAGGTTCACTTGCGGCCCGCAGTCAGAAAAGGTTGCTCATCACTGCTGTATATAGTAAATACATTTGTCGTAAGGCTTGGTAATTAAAATCACAAACTCCCGCTGAATTCCCTCTGAACTGAGATAAGGGATTCCACTTCCAAATGTCTTTCTTGTCAATGCAATGGAAAAGATGCTGGCAGACGGATGTGTTCCTTTTCGCTGATCCTGTTGCGTAACAGAATTCATGAGAGATCGGTATTTCCTATTCACAGTACTTAGTCAAGAGTGTGTTTTTGATCTGAGATCCAACTTCGTCCAGGAAGGTGTGTCAGAACGATTTAGTACATTCTGGAATTCGAATGCTCTGCAGAATAACATCAACAGATCCTTTTCAAGCGGAATAAAAAATAAACATTCGATGTTCATAGACCTGTCCCCAAAGGATGACGCCGTATCGGTTGCTTGATCTCGAAACAGGAACGAGGCGATGTCCTGGATACAATGATGGAGCAAGAAGAGAAGGAAAGGGAGGCAGGAGGCGAGAAGGTGATCACGGAGGATGTAATCGCGGCCCAGTCCCTCATCTTTTTCGTCGCTGGGTTCGACACCACAGCGTCCATGATGAACTTCCTCACCTACGTTCTCGCCGTTTATCCAGCTATCCAAGACCGATTGTATGAGGAGATAGAGAAGAACATGGATGAATATGTATGACGCTTAGAAAGTAGGAGGATTATTAACTGTGACATCATTTATGCAAAGCAGAAACATGTACTTAGTGGACATCGTAGTGAAATATCGTGATATCGTGAAATGTAGTGATAAAGAATTCTTTGCAAGTAAAGTGAAAAAATTGTCTCATAAATACCATTTTCATTCACAATTATCATTTCCTGTGGTAGTTAATGTATTTTTTCGCTGGTATAATATGTTGAACCTTCGTTTGGTAAAACTTCGCCTTAACTCACTCAGGTTTAAATTATTTAAGATCTATCCTATTTAATCTCTGAAATTCACTTGCGAAAAGCCAATAACATGATTTTTGACAGGGTGGAATCAATCACGAGATGATGAACTCTTGCGTGTATCTGGACCAAGTGGTGCATGAAACCCTCCGCTTCTATCCCCCTGCGAATCGGTGCGTTCGATTCTCTCAATCTCGTTTCCCTTGAACTACTGTTTAAATGTTAATGTCTGAGAAGAGGATGGTGAGCTTGTGCGCTCTTGAGCAAGATTGGTTTCTTATACAGATAGAGTTCATCAGAGGAGACTCGAAGGTATCTGCCTAAATCCATGGATTTGGGCTTGAAACGAAACTTGATAAATCTGCATGATTGTAAAGCTCCTTCGAAGAGTCTAAATACGCATTTTGAAGCTTCTAGGTGTGGGTACGCAGGTAACTTCCGAAGATGAACTTCCTGCATTAATTATTTTATAATCAATAAATGGTCCCTTTCTAGGGATCTACCTCCACATTCTGTTCGTCGTTGTTCCGAGCTTGATGAACTGTATTCAACGCTATACCCAACAAATAGGTCGCCCGAAATTTGACTTGTCATTCTGAAATACGACCCTTCTGGACTGTACATACTCATACAATTGTGAATTCATTACATTTATCTTCCCGTGTCGAGTTTAACGATGCCGAACATAAACCAATCAAGTGACAATTTATGGTTAGAATTTTTTTATTGGAACACCCTTGAGGTTGCTTGGTTGCTATTTGAATGAGAACCGCATCTTTGAGTTCAGCAACGAGAACTATGCCAAATAATTTTATTATAATCTAAATCTGCTTGGATGTCAAAAATGGGCATTCCTCTTTAACTTTTGTTTATAGTTAAATTGAGAAAACCACAGAAAAGGCCTCTAAATCAATTGACATTGGAATCGCCTCGATCAGGGTAACTGTACTTGAACCCAGGCTTCGAGAAAAAACAATTTTATTTTTAGCTTTTTAATGTCCACACACTCCATAATTTGGTATGGGTTCGTGCTTAGACCTTAAAAAAGAAAAAAAAACTTACACCACATTTTATGATGAATGTTTCAGGTTGGAACGGGAATGTACCAAGGACTGCATCATAGATGGAATTGAATTCAAGAAGGGAGATTTGATTGCCATCCCTGTCTACGCTGTTCATCATTGTTCTGATTTCTATCGTGATCCCGAAATCTTCGATCCAGATCGGTTTGGCTTTCCGTTTCTCTGCCTAATTCCCGTTCCCCGATACAGATGCTTGAAATTGCGAACACCACCTAAAATCCCATTATTTCAATTCGCCTTTGTTGTGCAAGGAGAGGAGGGGCGAGTGTGAAACTAACAGTTTTTTTTTTAATGTAATAAAATCAATGGAAACTCTCAACAGTCAGGAAGAACTTGAAGAGGGTCATGTAAGCTGCCTTCAGATACGAGGGCCACTCAATAAGTTATCTACCTGAATATGAAAGGGATGAGCAACAGGCCTGTGCCTGCTATGACACGTCTCTGTGGAATAAGTGTGTTGAGTTAAAAGGAGACTACATTGAAAAATAAATTGTTATTTTTCCCCTAGGATGTTTCTTTCTTATTCAGGTAGATAACTTATTGAGTGACCCTCGTATGTCTAGAGAGGTTTCATATATCTATTTGTTGCACCGAGGAAAACAGAGAAGAAAACTGGATTTTCAACACTGATTCAATGGGAAATCCTTCTATACCGCAGAGGTATTTGTAGGCGATGAAAGGGCCATACACTCTCTTCTCCGTGTTTTCATGCTTATTTTTTAATGCATACATTTTAAAAATATATAAGTTTCAAATGTAGATACAATGGCTTTGCTAGTAAATGTAAATCAGGAAACTTAATTATATTAGAATTCAGTTATTCATAGCTCTCTCTTTGCTGCTTCCTATACAGTGCCTGTACGAAATATTTAAATAATGACTCTAGACAGATTTCACTTATTATTTCTGAATTTCTGGCTGTCCCAACCTACTGTATTGAATTTATACTGTAGGCTAGTTCAGCAGGAGGCAGTAGGTTCAGCAATTCATGAGTTCCCATAAATCGTTTGGCTTCCTTTTTTGTAGGAATTATTTTGTTTGTGGAAAAAAAAATCTTAATGGATCAAAAGTTTGGTCTTGCATCGGAAAAAAACCCTGTGAATATACAGTGTAAGGGTGTGATTCTCATTGGTATTTTCTTAGAATTTAGACTTTCAGAATTAATTTTGAAATTTTCATGTCTTTGTTTGAAAGGTCTTTCAATAAGAAATCGATTGTCAGAGTGAAGCTGTTTCCACATGATAAAAATTAGCTTTAGTCACTTGAAAAATAATTACCCTAAGTCCTAGAAAGCAGAAATCCGACTTTGGAAAGCAAGCAAACAAGAAAAACAAGTTTGGACATTTTTGACGAGGTTTTCCATGCTTTTTCCTTAATCTCTATACATGCCACAATTTTTTTTAAATATTCTATTATTCTGTTCTCCTGCGAGACAACTGGAACAAGGTATCTGAAAAATGATTGAAATTACCTTCATTGATTTAAAATCCATATGAATGGACGCAATCCTTACTAAAGTAGACAAACTTGTGGATTTCATCTAACATTCTTAAATTAGAGGCACATCTGTGGTACTTTGTTTGAAGTGAACCTTTTAACTGCAATTCGAATACGCTTTGGAACGAAAATGATTGATATGCAGGTTTTCACCTGATATGAAGTCGACCATACAGCAGGGAGCCTTTCTCCCTTTTGGAATTGGCCCCCGGAATTGCATCGGGATGAGATTTGCACTCGAAGAGGGGAAATTGGCGCTGTGCCACCTCATCCATTCCTTTCGCATCCTCAAATGCAAGGAAACACCCGTGAGTTCTTCATGCAGTCGCCATGACGTTACCAGAGTTTTGTGAAATTACTAAGAAAGGTGAACTCATCCGAGAAATAGCGATCGTTTAATCTGCTTGGATAATGAAGAACCCTCATTTAGTCATTTACCCTATGCCCGTAAAGATAGTTGAGGAAGTGCAGTCCGTTTGAATGGGATCAAGCTTTGAGATTCTCCGAGTCGCTCACCAGGAAATAATTTTTCATTGATGTTATCAATTTCGGATATCATTTGCGAGTACAGTACGTTACCGTTTTGATTCTTTGAGCGATTCACTATGAAAGCTATTATTCCTGGGGAGAAATGATTACAGCTGTGAATTTTCATGGAAATAATTGAAGTTTCATAGATGGTAACTAATTAGTGAGATGGAAAGCTGAACTGACTCAGATCTTTTACATGGTTCTCATAAGGCGCAATATTTTACATGGTAAAATATCGCGCCCATAGAGCTTGAAGGCATTGCTTTGATATATCTGATTGGAAAGAAAGTTCTCGGAATTTCATGAACAATTATTACAACCCAGTTTATTTAAAAGCAAAATCATCTCAATCATGAATGTAATCACCATTGGCCTCCTTCACTTCACGCCAACGTTTATGCAAACTATGGATGCCATTCCAATAGAACTCTGGCGACTNTCAGCGATGGAATCGGCTGCCTTCTTCTCGATTCGGAAGTCATAAAGAAGAAGCAGGCGAACTTGCTCCTTAGTAAGAGGGTAGGGCTGGTTCATGGCTGGAGAGCACCAGGGCTGTAATAATATACGGTTGTATGCCGAAGGACACGACCTACTTATAAACACACGCAGAACATTCTAGCATGCTCTGGAAAAAAAATTGTACTGGATATTCAAGAAATTCCGAGAACTTTCTTTCCAATCAGATATTTAAGATGATCATTGTTCTTGTGTGGACGTCGTCTCATGTTCCTAGTAAAGAAAACTGATCGAGAAACTAATAAGAGTAAATCGAGCGACATCTGCTCGTCGCATGATTTGCATTCTGCAACACTTAAAGCAGTTCCTTCCTACCGATAGCAATTCTTGTAACAATGCATCACTAGACAAATGATGAATTTTGGCTCGGCGAAATTTGGCAGGTGCACATCAAGTGGACGCCGGGAGCATTCGCGAGCGTCCCCGATAAATCCACCCCAATCAAAGTGAAACTGGAAAGTCGACTTTGATGTCCGATCGGAGAAACCCTCTTCTGGAGTTTCTTGCCCCTTATCCTGGCGGATTACTGAAGGGTCTGTGAGATGAGTTTCGTTGTCGGTGCTAAATGTTGTCAACTTTTCAGTCATTTGCTATTTTGGGGAAATAAAAGTCTCTGCAAGGGATTGCAAATAAATTCTCTCGTGATTCTTGGGAAGAGGCATTTGCATATACATGTACAAACGTGAACATTCGTGCTTGCATATTTTAAGGATCAGCAATAGATCCGAAAGTCGTCCGAAATTTTGGAGTCGGAGGACTTTTCGTAGCATTGAAAAGAGTTCTGATGAATAAACGATACGAAGAGGAATTTCGTGGAAGCATACCTCACAACCAAGCAAGACTTGGAAGAGAATAGATGACCTATGAAACCATAAAATCGTTAGTTGAGAGATTCACTCAGTAAATTTGAAGATTGGATCTGGAGCTTTCGCGTAAGGTCTTAATGACAGGCTGTGATCCTGTGTTTCAATCCTCATACAAAGATGCTGATATGATGATCACGAAAAGTTTCCTTTTTGTTGTTTGCGACCCATCAGTTCGCTACGAAAAATGAATTTAGCTGTCATTCATTTAGGCCTAGCGTGCAGGCTCCAGTCCAGTCCCCCAGAGTTGCCGGATATCGTGCTGGAGTTATCTCTGATTCATGACTGCTTTCACATTCGTATAGATGTCTGGATCTTCTACTTTTTTATGTATCACACATTTTGTGCTGAGTTCATGAGATGAGCTGAGATTGCAATGGTGGTTAGCAGCGGCCGATCGTTGTGGTGGGATATAGAGATATCGTTCACGGACATCACTGAATAAATAGGGTTACGCGTAGCACGCACTTCAATCCCGGAGGCTTTCTCTCTCCTCCTCTTAATCGAGATGGTTCGAGAAACTCTGGATAGGCCGAACGTTACGCGTCCGCACTGAAATGGTTCGTGAAAGTCGGAATAGGCCTGGAATCATAGTAACATTACACGTCCTCATCACATATCTCGAAGATCCGGGGATTGACCCTTATAGGCCTGGTTGACGCCGTAAATTTAAGTCGAGGGTGGAAATACTTTGAAACCAATAAAGGTAGACCGAGGCCTGACCTGAAGACAGTTCGTGGGGTGGGGGGTGGGGGACTTAATAAGGTAACAACATTTGAAATATTATTTCCACAATACTTCATACACTGTTTATGTCATGCTGGGTTCAAAATAATTCAGATTGCTTCGCAACCGTGGTCCTCCGGTTAAACATATAGCGCGCGCGATCCTGGCCGCTTGTTTAGCCGAGCGACAAATGTGTTCATGCGTGACAGCTCCACAAGCCAAACGCTTCGAGAAATTAACTGAGAATTTTCGCTTAAATCTTCCGTATCATCAGAGGATGTGCCTTTGCGAAATGTACCATAAATATAGGCCTCACAAAAGGGGGGCGAATTCCACACAAACCGGAGTTTCGCTCGCGTCTCGTTATCTTGAGGATGGACGCTGAGACTCGAGTTGGCGTCGGACTCGTCAGGGGACAGTGGGATCGCTCACGGCAGTGTTCTCCCGCCTGCTGCCGTGAGTTGAGGGATTTCAAGCTTCCGTGATGAATTGCGGGGCGATTCGTGAGTTCGTGCCCGCTTGCTTTCATATGGGCTCCTCAAGGAGACCATCACCACAGTTTCCTCTTGTGATTTCCATCGCTTAAAATGCAGAATTGCATAATGATGCGCTCTTTCTTTATGGCATTGCTTTCGCTCCTTTGGAAACGTTCACGAATGACATGTGGAAGCCGACAGGCGCGAGAGTTCTTCATGCTTCTCTCTCGTCCAGATGAATGGACGGGGGGGGGAGGGGGTTTCCTAATTCCAATAGGATGATTCTAATTCTCATTCCTCAAGAAGAAATCGAGGTCCTCCGGGTTAAACATATACCATGCGCCATCCTAGCCGTTAGCTAGGTAGAGCGACTAATGTGTACTTATGTGTTAGTGTGTGACAGTTCTACAGGCTAAACACTTCGAGACATGAACAGGGAGTTATAACAAAAATGTTCCTAATCCGAGGATGAATTTTTTTTGCGACGCCATCTTATCTTCCAAATGACAGCGGAAGGCAGTAGAATCTTGGTTTG